TAGAGAATGGACTTGAGGACATGGGGAGGGGGAAGGGTTTGCTGGGACGAAGTGAGAGAGTGGCATGGACATATATACATTACCGAATATCAAATAGATAGCTAGTGGGAAGCAGCCACCATAGCACAGGGAGATCAGCTTGGTGCTTTGTGACTACCTAGAGGGGTGGGATGGGGAGGGTGGGAGGGAGACGCAAGAGGGAGGGGATATGGGGATATATGTATACACATAGCTGATCCACTGTGTTATACAGCAGTAACTAACACAACAACGCAAAACAATTAAACTCCAATAAAAATGTTAAAAAAAAAAGAATTGTAAGACTCTAAGAGTAGGTATATGTGTAACTGATTCACATGGCTGTACACCTGAAACTAATACAACATGGTAAATCAACTATATTGCAATAAAAATTTTTTTTAAAAAAAGGAAAAAGAATTGTAGCTCCAGTCCACTGTCTGATAGGAACTTCTTTGCTGATGGAAATGTTCTTGATTTGTACCTACCAATATGGTGGCCTTTAGTCAGAGACGCTCTTGAGCACTTGATATGAGGTTACTGCAGCTGAAACTGAACAGGTAAGTAATTTAAATTTAAATAGCCACCTCAGGCTAGTCGTTATCATATTAGACAGTACATCTCTCCTGCTCAAGTATGCCCTGCAGGAACATGCGTAACACGGAGGTCTATGGGGCTGAATTGGTTTTTTAAACATTTGTAGAAAGTTTAAAGAAGGCGCAACAGCAGACTTGTGATAGAAGAGTCTGTATCTGTATTTCCCATCCAGTTGAAGTCTTACCATTACCCTAGAAGATGCTGAAGAGAAGTGGTAGATAATCTTTGGGCCTTAATAATAATAAGGCCATAAACATGGACCACCATGGCTGACTGGCTTAAATGAGTTTTTTACTTGAAACACGAAAGGACAGATCTCTGGATGAAACAAGTCTTTACACATTCTCTTCCTGAACACAGAGGCACAAACTAGACCAGGGCTTCCTAAAAGGCAATTCCTGGGCTTTGCTCAAATTTTGATTCTCAGTGAGCAACACATGGTAGACAATCAGTGAAAATTAGCGAAGTATTAGATATTTATAAAGATCAACAAACACAGCAAACTCTCTGGAAAGAGATTTATAAGCTCAGGCTCTGAAATGGTATAAGTCAGAATTTGCCTCCATCAGCTGAGTAGTTTCAACTTACTTGTGCCTCAATGTCTGTAGCTATAGAAAAAAAAAGATCTCCTCTACTGAAGTATCGTATTAGATGCATTTTTTATCTTAAGCATTATTTCTGGCACACCCACATGCTCAAGAAATTTTAGTCAATCTTCTCTTCTCCTTCTTAACACTGATTTTGTGTTTAGGCAAAAATTTAGAAATTCCATCCTTTGATAACGTGTCATTTCTATATATTAAAACTTAGTGAACTTAAAAATAAGCTCTGTGTAGGGATAGAAGAGCTGGAATGAGCTTAGTGAAAATGATCAAATATTACCACTTTAAGTCATTACCAGAAAAATCTGCCCAAATTAGTAATGAGGACTAATTATAAAACATTCCAAAGTTTTTTTCAATTATATAGAGAAAATCATCAAAAACAGCTAAGCAAAGCATTACCTAGTAGGATGTTTGGGGGGAATTTCTTTAAAGAAAAAGGCAAAACATATCTTTTATAATACACGTCTATAACACACAAATAAAAGGAGCCTTCCAGATCTCTCGAAAAGAGTATGTCCTCTCAGGGTATTTCAAGCACTCTTAGACCGTTTTGTGAATCACATGAAGTAAGTCAGACAGAGAAAGACAAATATCATATGATATCACTCACATGTGGAATCTAATTTTTTAAAAATGATACAAATGTAATTATTTACAAAACAGAAAGACTCATAGATTTTGAAAACAAACTTATGGTTACCAAAGGGGAAACGGCAAGGGAAGGGAAATTAGGAGACTGGGATTGACATATACACATCACTATATATAAAATAGATAACCAATAAGGACCTACTGTATCACACAGGGAACTCTACTCAATATTCCGTAATAACCAATATGGGAAAATAATCTGAAGAAGAATGGATATATGTATATGTATAACTGATTCACTTTTGCTGCACACCTGAAACTAACACAACATTGTAAACCAATTATACTTCAATAAATTTTTTTAAAAAAATGCATTTTCCAAGATTAGGAGAAAAACATGTTTTGAAGGTGGCAGGCTTCCCATGAACAGACCATAAGTGCATAATTCTCCGCTCGGTGCTATAGCCCTGATTCCATGTCTATGATGTATTTCTAAAAGGATAAAGAAGAGAAACACTTAGAATTACAATTTAAATGCAAAGGACACATCTCCCCATGCTGCATCCTGGTTGCTTCTGAGCAAAATTGATATTCAAACTTGGTTTCCTGAAAAACACAGCCCAATCTTAACAGTATTGTCCTCATATCTGGCTCTAAGAAGTAATTGGAGAAATCTTTTAAAGTTATATTGACAGGGTGGGGGTGACTGGAGGATGCAGTGGGTGGGGTGGTGATTGTGGTCTGCCCTGTGCGTAGCTAAGAAGGGGGTCCTTAGATCACTTGAAGGTTTTAAGAGTAAAAGCGTAGGAGCTGGGCGGGGGGCCGGCTTTGGTGGGTAAGGTCCAGTTTGCCCACGTTGGTAGCTGGCTGTGCTGGCCACCTTCCCTGCCCTATCTCCTTTCCCAACTCCACTAACCTTGTCCCTTTATCTCCCTAAAAACTATTTGCCCTGACATCCTTGTCTCAGAGTCTGCTTCTCATGGAACCCAAACTAGAACCCACCACAATAATCCTATGATGAGACTTACAAGGACCATTCCTACTCCTGACAGGAGAGGGACATATGCGGAGCCTTGCCCTCTACAATCACCCCACAGGTTTACCAACATCACACCCCGAGGGGAAGATCTCTGACGCAGGAAGGGAAATACAGGAACCGAGAACCCCAAGCAGCACCTTGGAGGGAAGGGGAGTGGCCAAAGTCCCCCGACTGGGCTGAAGGCTTGGAGGGGACACCCTTAGAAAGGGATTCAAGTAAGGGTGACGACCGAAAGCATGTCTTAAACTCCCAGGTGAGATGGTTACACTAGTTCTCAGCTCTGCCTGCAAAACACTTGCCAGGTTTTGTTTTTGTTTTTTTTCTTTTCCCAAACACTATAGCTTCCCAGGCCCTGGATATATAATAAATCAGAATCCCAGGATGTAGGAGATATATATATATATATATATATGTGTGTGTGTGTGTGTGTGTGTGTGTGTGTGTGTGTGTGTGTGTATGTATTTAAATAAATATAAATATATTTATATATAAACATACGGATATATTTGACATTCATATAAAATATATATATATACATAAAGCTCCAATGGCAATTCTTATACACAAACCAGAGATGACCATAGAACTGTAATATGGAAAATGTTGACCTGATGTGACGTAAACAAATAAGTCATCCCTTCTTTGCCTCCTAATCAGATGTTTCTGATCAGAATTCAGAAAGGACATCCAAGTTCTTCGTAAATTAACTCCAACCTCAAAGGCTATGGTTTATCTGTCAAAATAGATCCTCCCTCAAAGTGAATGTGTTTCTCTGTCACTATGGGGGGATGATCAAGAATTCTGGAAAAGTAAATGGATTTCCAATGATGCCCACCCTCTCCCAGTGATCTCACATTCAGGAAGAACGTATTCGCAGGAGGAAACAGAGGGCAAATCTGAATGGTACAGATTCTGACTTGGGGCCAGATGCTATTCTGTGTCTCCCAGCCCCTGAACTCATGAACTCTCCCTGACTATAACTCATGCTGCCTGCAGGACGAGGATGTGTGCGGAAGGAATTGTCCTCCTTCTGCAATTACCCCCTTAGAGCCTTGAAGTCAGTACTTGAATATTACGCGTGCAGCACAATGATTGGTCGATGACGCCATCAACACACAGCTGCACTATTAACTCAGGGTATGATTCACAAATGATTCTTTTTCGATTGTAATTGCTGACAGAGTCCTCGCAATGAACCCAGTCTTTTAGAGAAAAACTGATCTTGGGACAAAGGGCTGGCTAAAACCTCAGGCAGGACATAAGTAAATAAATAAACAATAAAAGCTTTATCTATTTAAATCGATATAGATATACTCTATATATGTATCTAGTTAGATAGGTTTATATATATATATATAAAACATCTTTAAATATAGATGTAGATATAGATATAAACATATATGTATAGAAAGAGCAGGGAGATGGAATCAAAATGTATCAGGAGAGAATTCCATCCCGGCTTACCAGTATTTTCTGTTATGCTATATGAAAGTTTAGTGTTAGTTAGAGAGACCTGGGTTTGAATAATGGCTCTGTCACCTAACTGGTCATGTGTCTTCTCTGAGCCTCAGTCAAAACAAAGGAATAGTATCTTTACGTTGTCAGAAAAAATAAATAAAATATTATATGTAGACATCATGGCTGCCTCTAAGAAGTATTTTCTTAAGTTTAATTTTCCAGCTCATATAGATTTAGCCCAAACAACATTATTTGCCATAAAAACCATAATAGGGAGGTTTTTAACCAAAAGTGAATGGAGTTATGCAACCAACTTTTGCAACTATATTATTGGTGCAACTTCAGAAAATTTCAGTTACAAGCAAATGTGTGGAAGTAACATAGCAATCTAGAAATCATATAAATGCAAAGTTGACACTTCAGAATTATATTTTACTGTCTCTCTTAATGTTTATAAAACACATACACACAAACACATATACAGCATGGCAAGGGAGCCCTGGAAACCCTTCCTTGCCCCCCTGTAAGTGACACTTTGCTTGTCATTTTTACTTCTTAATGGTTAATGAATTCCATGTAATAGTTGCCAGTTTTCTGCCTCCCCCTCTGTCCCCTGCTGCAAAAGATCTAATCTATTCAGAGGAAGATAATTGCAGAGCTGTTGAGACAGAAAATAAAACGCTGCATCTCACCACTGTTGTGCGCCTCCAGCTGTGAGGTGGAGTTGACAGCAACCTTGCATAGAGAACAGTAAAGCAGCCGTTTTGCCTTTTCTTCCTCAGTCTCCGTGGAAGGACAGGAGCTATTGCCGGTGGCTGTCGTGGGGCTTTTCTCCACTTTAGAAGTGATCTCAGTTGTCATAACGCTGCTTTTGCGAATTTCCACAGTTGTCGTCGTTGATATTGCTGGTGTCCCCGTGGTACTGTCTGCAGTCAAAGTAGCACAGAAGAAAAGGCAAAAACAGTGGTATTACCTTTCCCTATTCGAAAGTGTATCACTAATATTACATTCGGCTAATTATGGTAAGAACAGCTAGCAAGTGCTGCTTGTCAACTATGTGTCGATCATCTCCTGAGGAAATGTACATAGATGACCACTTATAGTTTTGTCTATTGATATAACACGTTCGGACAATTCTAGAAAATATATACAAACAGGCTTTAACGTTTTTCCATGGGGTAAATAAACATATTCACAAATTTCTCTTGTTAACATATGGCCTTAGTAAAATAATCTTTACAGTGCATTGTGCTTTGTATATTTCTACAAGGATGGCTTTAAAAAAAATAAAATGGAGGATAAATGTTTTTAAGATATTTTAATTTTTCTTTACTACTTGTCTTTCTATTTTCCTTCTACATCTCTTTCTTTAATTAAAAAATAGGTACTGATCCTCCTGTGTATGCTTGTGCAAAATACAGAAAAAAAAAAAGAACCCTGATATCATATCGCTTTGTCCAGATCAAAGGTTTAGAAAACCATTGCCTTATTTACAAAGAGTTGTATATTGGACCGGTACAGAAATCATCCATATACAAATAAGATGAATTCTAATCTAGCATATTTATTAAATGTATGCTCTGCACCAGGCTGTGTTCAGGGAGCTTGTGACACAAAAGTATTCAAACATCAACAGCCACTCTTTATAAGGAATTCACAGACTGGTCATATCATGTTAATGTCACAGCTTTCAAGAGCTTGATGACCAAGAAAGTGTCGATGCACTGTAACCCTACAACCCTTCTGCCTCTGAAGTCAGATTCTAAAGCTGGAGAGGTCAACCTCCAAAGTAAGACTACCTTGTCCTAACTTCACTCGGGTGTACACAGCTCCCAACTCAAACAGGCTAGTTAACACAATGTCAGCAATGTCTGCCATACCCAACAATGAATTGCAAATGAGCCCTATGCCCTGTGCTTTCTATTTTTATGTTACTTTTTGCTGCCTCCCGGCTGGCTAGTTCTTAACCTTTTATTCAAACTATTCCCAGGCTGTCTCTCCAGCCACAGCTGCTCTTGGAATCGTTTCTCATTCCATATGCTGCTGTGGTCACTATCCAGTGCCACACTGTAAAGTCCATGATAAATGGAGTGGGCAGTGGCTGTAAAGGACAGTGGTCTACCTGCAATGAAGTGCTGTCCTCATAAACGCTTACTTCTTTTTAGTTTATGTTATCAAGATGCCTTGTAACTTGGATTTTCCCTTTGATCCAGAGAGAGAGGTGGGAATATGGGTGAGGTTGCTTATGGCTTCTTTCCCAAATATGGCATCAGACACACTAGTCAATCAGAAGAGAAATGGGCTCTTTTTTTTTTAATTAATGAATTAATTTTCATTTAAAAAATGTTATTGAAATATAGTTGATTTACAATGCTTCAGGTGTACAGCAAAGTGATTCACTTATATATATATATATGTATATATATATATACATATAATATATACTTTTATATATGTGTGTATATATATATATATATATATATATATTCTTTTTCAGATTCATGTTGAGGGCTATTGTATAAAACAATCCATCTGGCTCTCCCCTTTGCCTGACACTTCCTATACTTTTAATCACTTATTTAGCTGTAAGACCATTAAGTAAGTCCCCTGCAGTGTCATGGAGAATATCCTCCAACCATGTTAGAAAAAAAAAAAAAGATGACTAGTCTCTCTCATGGCTAGAGAAAAATAAATAAAATGATCCTAACACTGAATTTTGCCACCAGAATACATTTATTTCCTTGAACACTGAGAGGCCCACTTCCTGACTAGTGTTTACTTGCCTACTAAGATACCAACATTAAAATATCAGGTAATTGCTAGAAAATATTTCTGAGAATCTAGATATGGCATAAAACACAACAACCAACTTGAGATGGTCCAGTAGGCATCATTGCTCCCAGCAAACTGGAAAGTATTCTTTGAAAGCAGGTGCATGAGTGTCTGTGAACACATAGCAAGTGGCCAGTTCATTTGCTAAGTGTTTTATATATGTAATTTCATTTAACCGTCACACATACTTTTGAAAATGAAGAAATTTCAGACGTTAAGGAAATTTCCAAAGGTTACACAAGTAGTATATGGTGAGTCAGGACACAGTGTTTCATGGAATTAAGAAAGTAGGGATTTGGGGAAAAATGTATTGTGAATGATGCTCTTGGCCATAATAATGAACCTCCATAGTAAGGTCACAAAGAGTAGTGGGCTAAAACCACTCAATTGTTTTTATGATCAGTTCTATGGGAAGTGACAACCATAAAGAGAGGTATAATTAAACTTATTGTGGCCACTTGCTGGAGCCAGAGTGTGATACTGTAGGTATTTATTTCATTTGAATCTAAATAAGGATATCCCTAGTAGTACCCTACTTCTAACAATTTTCCTCTGCGTTATGACAATGTTTATTTTATGTCTTGATCTGAAAATTTTACATTGCATAGATTATAGTAATCTTAATCCAACTTCTCTATTTACAGTGAAATTCATAACAGAAGTATAGAATAAACATAACCATGGACCTTCCAATCTCTGTGACAGCTACATCAGCATCATTCCTAATCCCAGAGGATAATGTACATTTATACCAAGGACACCAAAGATTAGAGACACCAGGCTGTCTATGTCCGGGGCTTAGTGAAGTATTAACATCGATATTTCTTAAGGCAAGTCCCTTGCACGAGACAGGCTTAGGGGAATTAGTACCAAAATGCTTAATTTCCGGCACTTCTTACTTTGTTGCATCTTTCAGACCACATAGCTGAACAAAGATCTGCAAATTTTCTCAAGCTTGCGGTTAGTTTGAAAGAAATACAAACAGTTACATGTTTGACATTAAATTTAATATGTAGATCTTGAGTCCACAAAGATAAGAGTACTATTGCTTTATAACAAGACATGAATTTTTCACTTACTCTTCATTTGCCAGTAGTAAAGAGGACTTTTTTTTTTAAGTAAAGTAAATATATTTTAAGATTATGCCACAAAAGAATCAACTATTTCATTTAGTTGGCGCTTGGTATCTGGGGGTTCTGCATCTGCGGATTCAACCAACCAAGGATCGAATATATTTTTTAAAAAAATTCCAGAAACTTCCAAAAAACAAAACCTGCATTTATTGTGGGTAGGAAACTATTTACATAGCATTTACATTGTATTTGCAACTAGCTACATAACGTTTACATTGTATTAAGTATTGTAAGTAATTCAGAGATGATTTAAAGTAAACGGGAGGATGTGTGTAGGTTATATGCAAATACTACATCATTTTATATAAGGGACCTGAGCATCCATAGATTTTGGTAACCACAGGGGTTCTGGAACCAATCTCGCGCAAATAAGGATGACTGTACTTTGCGTAGAAATTACATATAGCAAAGATATTTTCCTTAGTACGGTACATTAAATTACCAATTATATATAACACCTATCCAGTCATTAAAATAAAATTTTAGATCATTGATCATGTTAATAGCATATACTCTTGCTAAGATGTGATGAGAATTACCGCTGTGATCTTCCTCCTAAAACTCATAACCCCTGTCTAACCATGAGAAAAGCATAAACAAACCTAAATTTAAGGACATTCTACAAAATTCCTGACCAAGAGTCCTCAAAAGTATTAAGGTCATCAAAACAAGAAAAGTCTGAAAAACTGTCACAGTCCAGACAAGTCTAAGGAGACAGGATTACTAAATATAATGTGGTGTCCTGGTTAGGATCATGGGGCAAAAAAAAAAAAAAAGAACATAAGGAAATTAACACAACATTGTAAGTCAACTAAACTGCAATATAAATTAAGAAATTAAATTCAGAAAAAGATGTGGTACGTACACACAATTGTAACAGTCAGATGGAGAAAGACAAATACCATATGATTTCACTCCTAGGTGGAATCTAAAACACCAGAACAGAGGAACAAACAAAAGAAAACAAAACCAAACTCATAGATACAGAGATTAGATTAGTTGTTACCAGAGGGGAAGGGGGGGTGGAGGTGGGCAAAATGGGTAAAAGGGGGTCAACTATATGGTGATGGGTGGTAACGAGACTTATGCTGGTGATCACTCTGTAGTGTATACAGATGTTGAACTGTAATGTTGTTTACCTGAAACTTACATAATTTAAAAAAAGAAAAAGAAAAAAAAACTTTAGGTATAAACTTATGAAATCAGAAAGAACTATGGACTCCAGGTAATAATATATCAATATTTGTTCATTAGCTTTGACAAATACACCATAGTAATGTGAGATGTTAATAATAAGGGAAACTGAGAGCATATACAGGAACCCTCTGTTGTGTTTTGTACCTTTTCTGTAGATTTAAAGCTAGACTAAAATTAGAATTTTGTTTATTTTAAGAAAAATAGAATTATAACCAGTCAACAAATAGTGCATCATTTCAGTTACTTTCTAGAATCATAGTCAAAAGGGCTCTTAGTGGTTTCATGGTATAGCTTTCTAGGTTTTTAGATTAGGAAATTTCAGTAAAACTGGGACTTGACATTGCATCTCCCAATTCCAAATCCTTATTGCAATTCCAGATTGTTATTCTATGTTGCAATGACTCATGTATTTGAACTTCCCTCCATCAACATTCATTGAGTCGCTATTTTGTACTAGGAGATGGGAAGGATAATAGATGTCCAGTATGTGCTGAGTGGTTCATGAGACATCCCATAATGACTTGGAATAATAATAATAATAAACTTAACAATCCTTCATCAGTTTTGTCCATTGCTATATCCTTGCACTTATGCTTGACATAAAAAGGCAGTCAATAAATATTTATTGAAAGAAAGCAATGAATGAATAAATGACTGAATGAATGAACAAAACACAATTATAGCTTATGATAGTAAAAACAATTTTAAAGCATTTATACGTATAAACTCATTCAAGCCTCCTAAAAAACTAAGAGGATAAATTA